TTTTTTTTGAGACAGAGTCTCACTCTATTGCCCAGGCTGGAGTGCAGTGGCGTGGTCTCGGCTCACTGCAACCTCCGCCTCCCGGGTTCATGCTGTTCTCCTGCCTCAGCCTCCCAAGTAGCTGGGACTATAGGTGCCCGCCACCATGCCTGGCTAATTTTTTGTATTTTTAGTAGAGATGAGGTTTCACTGTATTAGCCAGGATGGTCTTGATCTCTTGACCTCGTGATCCGCCCACCTCGGCCTCCCAAAGTGCTGAGATTACAGGCGTGAGCCACCATGCCTGGTCCATAGGTTCTTGGAAACTACAGCCTTAAGCAAAATGACATACTGTATACTGTAGGAACTTAACTCTTATTTATTTATTTATTTATTTAGGAGGAATCTCCCTCTATTGCCCAGGCTGGAGTGCAGTGGCATGAACTCAGCTCACTGCAACCTCCACCTCCTAGGTCCAAGCAACTATTTTGCCTCAGCCTCCCAAGTAGCTGGGATTACAGGTGCACACCACCACATCTGAGTAATTTTTGTATTTTTAATGGAGATGAGGTTTTCCCATTTTGGTCAGGCTGATCTTGAACTCCTGACCTTAAGTGATCTGCCTACCTCATCCTCCCAAAGTGCTGGGATTACAGGCATGAGCCACCCACCCAGACTTAACTCTTGTTTATAGTAATTAGCTCATGGTACATTTGATTTCCTTATATGTTATGAATCAGGACTTACCGTACTGGCACATGGATGCACCATTACACTAAGTGGAAAAAGCCAGCCCCCGCAAAACACATATGATTCCATTTATATGAAATATCTAGAATAGGCAAATCTACAGACACAGAAAGTAGATTAGTGGTTGCCAGGGGCTGGGGGGCACGAAGTGACTAGTAATGAGTACGGGCTCTTTAGGGCTCATAGACAATGTTCTGGAATCAGCAGCACAACTAATTGCGGTAACTCTGTGAATATACTAAAAATCATTGAATTGTACACTTTTAAAAGGTGAATTGTTTGGGATGTGAATTACATCTCTACAAAGTTATTTAAAAAGAGAGAGAGGGTGGGGTTTGAGTGCCTCCAGGGCTGTCCTTACGCCTTTTGATAGATGAAATTTATGTGCCTAAACAGAGCTGAAAATACACTCAGTCCAGACATGCTATCTCTAGCAGCCGTGTGACCTTGGGCAAATCACTCCATGTCTCTGAGCCTCAGTTTCCTCAACTGTAAATTAAGTGTCCCTGGGAGGCCCTCAGAAGCCCTCAGTGTCCTGGCAGGAGCTAATAATTTGGGACTTGTAGGAGAGAAGGAGGGGGCCCCTGGCAGGCCATTCTGCCCCTCTGTGGGTGGGCAGTCTGTTCTTCCAGGGCTAGGTGAGACCTGAGCCCGGCAGGGCAGGCCATGACCTGGCTGAGGGTCTGTGTGTCTCTCCCAAAAGGTGGAGTTCTCTCCGAAGACCCTCCAGCAGAAGCCACCCAACGGCTGGTTCCGCCTGCTGCCCTTTCCCAGAGCCGAGGAGGATTCTGGGTAAATGTGGGTGCAGAGGGAGGCGGCCAGGCTGGAGCCATGTTGGGCAGCATCCATAGCTTGTGGGCAGAGCCCATGCCAGCCCATGCATTATCGCTGTGCCACTTCATTCATGCATTCATCCATTTAACAACCGTCTATGGAATATCTCTCAAGGTGTTTACGTAAGTCCACAGGAGTTCACTTTACACCCATTCACCTGTCCATGTGCAAACACGTTGGCTCGCACTTGATATATATTCAGAACTTTGGGTCCTTCCACACCTGTCCATACTGTTCATTCTTGAACACACTTATTTATACCATCTCCACTTGCCTGTCCTGTCTATACCCATCAATATCAGTTCACACCTGTTTATACTGGCCTCCCCTATTCACACCTGTCCACGCTTGTTCACACTGTTGACACTCATCTTCACTTGTCCACACATCCTTTACATATTTGTGCACACCGGCCACATCTATCCACTCTGACCACACCTGTTTACGTTGTTTGTATACATTCCTATTTATGCCTGTTCACACCTGCCTACCCCTGTTCACACCTGTCCACACTTGTCTATACCTGCCTACACCTGTCTTGTTTTGCAAACTCCCGCCCTCCTCCCATATGTTCCCATTGGCCTCTCTTGGCTCTCCACACCTGCCCATGCGCTCTCCCATAAGAGCATCTTTTATTTTATTTTCTTTCTTTCTTTTTTATTTTTTTAGACAGAGTATCGCTCTGTCATGCAGGCTGGTGGAGTGCAGCAGCACGATCTCAACCTCTGCCTGCCAGGTTCAAGTGATTCTCCTGCCTCAGCCTCCTGAGTAGCTGGGACTACAGGCATGTGTCACCACACCTGGCTAATTTTTGTATTTTTAGTAGAGATGGGGTTTCACCATGTTGGAGAGGCTGGTCACAAACTCCTGACCTCAAGTGATCTGCCCACCTCAGCCTCCCAAAATGTTAGGATTACAGGCGTGAGCTATCACATTCGGCCAGACCTTTCATTTTCTTATGATCTGATCCTGGACAGGAGAAACCTGGGTGCCCTGCGAGTGAAGGTACGCCTGATCGAGGACCGCGTCCTGCCCTCCCAGTGCTACCAGCCTCTCGTGGAGCTGCTCATGGAGTCTGTGCTGGGGCCAGCAGAGGTGGGTGCGTAGCAATGCAGTGCTACCAGGGGAGTGCCAGGGGTCTGGATCCTGGCCTCCCCCTGCCTCACGGAGCCCTATCTAGGCTCATCTGCTTTGGGGTCCCAGGGGTCGAGGTCACCTTTGTCTCCCGCCCCCATCCAGGAGGACACTGCTAGCCCCCTGGCCTTGCTGGAAGAGCTGACATTGGGGGACTGCCGCCAGGACCTTGCCACCAAGCTGGTGAAACTCTTTCTTGGCCGGGGACTGGCTGGACCCTTTCTGGACTATCTTACCCGGCGTGAGGTGGCTCGGACCAGTGAGTTGCCTGCACAATCCCTGACATCACCGCCCTCAATGGTGGGCTTGCAGGAGGGTTCCTGGGGAGAAAAGGGGAGGCATCAGGCAGAGGGAAAGGGCTCCTTTTTCTGTGGGTCCCTGTGCTGTGCACCCCAGACAGTTGGGAGCCCAGTTGCGGCTCAGGCCCTGGTTTTGCTACTTGTGAGCTGTGTAACCTCAGGCAGTTCACTTAACCACTCTGGGCCTCTGTACTGTGAATGGGATTGATGTTTTGGGTCTTCCTGATTCTTGGGGCTGGAAGAATCATGACCCCCACCTTGGGTGAGTGGGGTGAGCTAGGTCTAGCTCCCTAAATCCCAGCAAACACTTCCTCCTGTCCTCCCAGTGGACCCCAACACCCTCTTCCGTTCTAACTCCCTGGCATCCAAGTCGATGGAACAGTTTATGAAGGTGAGTAGGTGAAGGCCTGGGGGACCGGGCACAGCTTCCTCGGGAACCTCCTTCCCAGTGCCTACCTGGCTCCCTCACTTGGCTGGCTTCAGAGGCTGAGCAGCTGAGCTGCAGTGCTGGTGGCTGGTGCCCGGCCTCGCCCTGAGTTGCACCCGGGTGTGTCCCCCACCCCAGCCCTGGCCTCTCTCTGAACCTCTTCCTGCATGGCCCCCCTGCACCCAGCTCATGGGCATGCCCTGGCCTCGCCCTCAGCCCCACCCCATGTGGTGCCCCCTGCCCCCAGCTCGTGGGCATGCCCTACCTGCACGAGGTCCTGAAGCCCATGATTAGCCGCATCTTTGAGGAGAAGAAGTACATGGAGCTGGATCCCTGCAAGATGGACCTGGGCCGCACCCGGTGAGCAAAGCCCGAGGACTCTGATCCTCCGATGGGCCCCTTTGGCTACCTGGAGCCTTGTCTGGGGGCTAGGTTCATGCTGACTGCCACTCACCCTGGGGCTACGACTGCTCAGGAGCTCGGTGGCTGAGCTCAAAGCCTTACACACACGTCCTTAGGTCTTCAGGCTGTGTAGTATAGGGGTTATGGCCAGGACTCTGATGCTAAGCTCCCTAGGTTCAAATGTTAGCTCTGCCACTATTGATGGACAAAGTTGCCAAAACTTCTGTTCCTTAGTGGTTAAGTTGTTTTCTTGTTTTTTTGTTTTTTTGTTTTTTTGTTTTTTTCCAAGACAGGGTTTTACTCTGTCACCCAGGCTGGGGTGCAGTGGTATGACCACGGCTCACTGCAATGTCAACTTCCCGGGCTCAGGTAATTCTTCCACCTCAGCCTCCGGAGTAGCTGGGACTATAGGCACACACCACCACCCCCAGCTAAGTTTTTGCATTTTTAGCAGAGACAGGGTTTTGCCACATTGCCCAGGCTGGTCTCAAACTCCTGGGCTCAAGCAATCCTCCTACCTTGGTCTCCCAAAGTGCTGGGATTACAGGCATGAACCACCGCACCTGGCATAATCAGATTTTTTTAAGATTAAAAAACTCAAAATATTGATCCTATGTTCTTCTACTTAATGCACAGACTACTTCTAAAATGTCCCTTATTCAGCTGGTGAGAATATTGTCACCTGAGAGGTGGAGCTCATGACCTCTACTCCGTTAACTGAGTCATGCATGTGCTCCACAAGCATTAGTGATCTTTATTACTGTGGTGCTGGGGGTCCCCGACATTATGATATTTACTGCTGTGCTGCTGGCGGTCCCCAGCATTAGTGATCTTTATTAGTGTGGTACTGGCGGTCACTGAGTGGGCCTGCCTGCAAGGGAGATCGTGGAGTGCTCAGTGAGATTGGGAGGAAGCAGAGCAGTGGCTAGGGGGTCATTCCACCCCTCCGTGGGTTCCTCCTCCTTTCTCTCCAGAACCTTCTCCTCTCTAGCCCACAAGCCTGGGGCTGTGGAAAATGGTTGCTGGGATATCCATTGGGGACCGTGGCAGAGACAGGAAAGGATCTTTCCTTGTGCTGTCCACACCTTCTGACTACCTTAGAGGCAGGCATCACGACCCCTCTTACTGATGATGCAACTGAGCCTCAGAGAGGGAAGGTCACTTGCCTAAGGTCACACAGCCAGGAAGTTACAAAGCAGGGATTTGATCTCAGGCCCTGAGCAGAAGGGCACAGTCCACCTGTGAGACTCCAAGTCGAGGGCATTTCCTAGCACACTTGATAACGATGGAGGAAACTCAGTGGGCACCCATGGGGACGGGGGTATCTGGGGACCTGGGCAGGGCAGGGTGGCAGGCAGGCTGTGGACTTGGCAGTCCTGAGTTCTATTCTCAGCTGTACCATCTCCCCAGTAACCTCTCTGAGCTTCAGTTTTCTTGTCTGTTAAATGGCAACAAGTAAGGCTACTTACCCCATCAAGTTGCTGTTAGGATTGAAAGAGACCGTGCCAGAGACGAGTCCAGGGCTCAGCACATTAGGTCCAGGGAGCTGAGAACCCCCAGCTCTCAGTCTGGGTGTGGGCAAGACGGACCCTCAATCTGTAGAGAAAGAAAGGAACACAATAATTGCAGATGGAAAAATGCTGTTCTATCATCCACAAAACAAAACAATGATTGAGTGCCAGGCTCTGGGCTGAACACTGAGGATACAGTGGGGAACAAACAGTCCCAAGTCCCTATTCTGGGGGGAGACAGATAATGAGTAACTGGAAGAAGAAGGTTTGTTTGTTTATTTTATTTATTTATTTATTTATTTATTGAGATGGAGTCTTGCTCTGTCACCCAGGCTGGAGTGCTGTGGCATGATCTCGAATCACTGCAACCTCTACTTCCAAGGTTGAAGCGATTCTCCCACCTCAGCCTCCCGGGTAGCTGAGATTATAGGCGTGCACCACCACACTGGGCTAATTTTTGTAGTTTTTGGTGGAGATGGAGTTTCACCACGTTGGCCAGGCTGGTCTTGAACTCCTGGTCTCAGGTGACCTGCCTCCTTGGCCTCCCAGAGTGCTGGGATTACAGGCATGAGCCACTGTGCCTGGTGGGAAAAAGGTTATTGAATGGGACCAGGGAATGGAAACAACGAGGGAGGGGAGAGGCCTGCAATATTCCAGAGAATGAGGACAGGGGCAGCCTCACAGGGGAGGGGACATCTAAGCAAAGACTTGCAGGCGGTGAGGAAGGGAGTCTAACATTTAACGGGAGAGTGTTCTGGGGGAGGGAGATGAGCCAGTGCAAAGGCTGCAAGATGGGAATGAGCTCATCGTGTTTAAGCAACAGCAAGAAGCCCGGTGGGAAGGGGCAGGAAGGAGGCTGCGGAGGTGGGGGGAAGATGGGTCCCCTCTGAGCTCAGCGGGGCCGGTGGAGGGTTTGGGGCAGGCAGATGCTGTGTCCCGAGTCTGAGCTGCTCCGCCGGCCCCTCCAGGAGGATCTCCTTCAAAGGTGCGCCCTCGGAGGAGCAGATGCGGGAGACCAGCCTGGGGCTGCTGACGGGCTACCTGGGGCCCATCGTGGACGCCATCGTGGGCTCCGTGGGGCGCTGCCCGCCCGCCATGCGCCTCGCCTTCAAGCAGCTGCACCGGCGCGTGAAGGAACGCTTCCCCGAGCCAGAGCACCAGGTGCGCCGGGATGGGAGGCCCAGCCTGGGGACGGGCTGGAGCTTGTCCAGGGTCACTCGGAGGAGTCAGGACAGAGCTGGGACCAGAACCCAGGCTGCCTGGGGACAGCGTTCCTGGCAGGGTCCGGCTCCCAAGAATGATAATAATAATAAAAATTGCCCAGGTGCGGTGGCTCACGCCTGTAATCCCAGCACTTTGGGAGGCTGAGGAGGGTGGATCACTTGAAGTCAGGAATTTGAGACCAGCCTGGCCAACATGGTGAAACCTTGTCTCTACTAAAAATATAAAAATTAGCCGGGCATGGTGGCTCACACCTGTAATTCCAGCTACTCCGGAGGCTGAGTCAGGAGAATCGCTTGAAGCCAGGAGACAGAGGTTACAGTGAGCGGAGATTGCACCATTATACTCCAGACTGGATGATAGAGATAGATTCTGTCTCAAAATAAATAAATAAATAAAACAAATAATAATAAATATAATAATGGCAGCTAACACTCCATAGCCTGGTAGCCTGACCATGGGCCAGATCTTGTTTTGGGTGATTTATGTATTTATTACCCTATTTAATCATCACATGCAGCCTGTGAGGTGGATACCAGGATTATTCCCATTTCACAGAGGAGGAAACTGAGGCCCAGAGAGCTTAAGTCACACAGGTAGAAAGGGGTGATATTGGGACTGGCACTCACCCAGGCAGGTTGGCTCCTGAGTCTGTGCTCATAACCAGCAAATAATAGAGTCTGGCACCAAGTAAGTGCTTCTTAAAATTCCAGATGTAAGACAGACAGAGAGAGGAAGTAAGAGAGAAGAATGCAGATCTGGCATACAGTAAGTGCTCAGAAACACCCAGAATACAGTCTAAAAATAAATCCCTGCAGGTGTAGTGCTATACCAACATGGATAGAAAAGTTGAAGACTCAGATGCTGTGAGTTTCAGGCAGGTGAGGCACAAGAACAAAGTAGGTAGCGCGTGGAGTGGTAGGGAGTCATACAGACTGTGACCAACTGGAGCCCCCAGAGCTTGTCTAAAGGGGGCAGCTCCAGGGGATCACTGCTGTACAGAAATGGAAGCCCAATACTGCCAGATCTTTAGAGATTCTGGATTTTATGTGAGGTCTGTAATTTATGTATGTATGTTTGTATGTATGTATGTATGTATGTATTTCTTACTAACTTTTTTTTTTTTTTTTTAGACAGGGCGTCGCTCTGTCGCCCAGGCTGGAGTGCAGTGGCCGGATCTCAGCTCACTGCAAGCTCCGCCTCCCGGGTTTACGCCATTCTCCTGCCTCAGCCTCCCCAGTAGCTGGGACTACAGGCGCTCGCCACCTCGCCCGGCTAGTTTTTTGTATTTTTTAGTAGAGACGGGGTTTCACCGGGTTAGCCAGGATGGTCTCGATCTCCTGACCTTGTGATCCGCCCGTCTCGGCCTCCCAAAGTGCTGGGATTACAGGCTTGAGCCACCGCGCCCGGCCTTTCTTACTAACTTTTTGAGATGGGGTCTTGCTCTGTTGCCCAGGCTGGAGTGCAGTGGCAGGATCATAGCTCACTGCAGCCTCTATCTCCCAGGCTTGAGTGATCTTCCCACCTCAGCCTCCTGAGTTGCTGGGACTAGAGGGGTGCACAACCACACCCAGCTAATTATTTATTTTTGTAGAGACAGGATCTCACTGTGTTTCCCAGGAGGATCTCAAACTCCTGGCCTCAACCAATCCCCCTGCCTCAGCCTCCCAAAGTGCTGGGACTACAGGCATGAACCACTGTGCCCGGCCTGACCCCTTATTTTTAAAATGTCAGCATGAATTTACCTGAAAACCAAACACACAAAAGAATTTTGGGTCAAGCATTATAAAACATTTGTGGTTGGACTGGCCAGTTTGCGACCACCTGGTTGAATACTCAGCACACCTCCCGAGGTGGCTGTCATTGTCCTCACTTGCAGATAACATCGGCTGAGATGAACTCTTATGTAGTGCTGATGTATCAGACCCAGGGTTCACTTTGCAGAAAGATCTGAGACCTGTTACATGTTGGCAGTGCCGTAACCCACTTCCTAGAGCCTCATTTGAGAGCTTTTGATTTATGCCACATCTCTCTCCACTTACTGTTTACAGATGGGGAAACTGAGGAACAGAGAGGTAAAACACCTTGGCCAAGGGTTTTCTAGACTCCCAGCTGGGGTCTCTCCCCTCGCCCCGGTTGAGGAGTAAGCTCTGGGCCTTGACACTGAGATGTAGCTTGGCTTGCGCCTCACCTTGCTGGGCTCTCACCTGGGCTGCCAGCAGAGGTGTTAAGTGGGGCACAGCTGTGGCAGGGAACAGGGAAGAAAGGGAGGAGGCCAGCTCCCCAGACAGCCTAGACCTTGTGTGGTGAGTCAATATCAGTGACACCCAAGTGTCCTCTAGTTCTCAGCCCCCAAGGTGGGCCTGGAGTAGGGACTTTCTCAGGCCCGGGGAACCCAGGGAAGCCCCTTTCTCTGCTGCACTGACACCGGTTCTTCGCCCTCAAAAAGGAGGAAACAAATGAGCTGATGGGAAGACTAAAATGACCCTAGACTACAGATGGCGGTGGGGTGGTGGTGGCCTTGGGGGACAATTCAGGGCTCCAGACGGAGGAGAATGTGCTCCCTCTGGGCAGTTCCAGGTAGCCAGCTCCTGCAGGGCTCACTGTCAAGGCCAAGATGCCCCAGGAAGGTGGCACATGCCTGGGGAGGGCATTGTTTCATGTGTGACTACAACCTCTAAATAAACACAGGCGCAGACTCTCAGGCTAAATATAGCCGGGCAAGTGTGAGAGGTGGGTGGGGAGCCGGTCTGGGGGGAGCAAGATGCACCCAGGATGGAGGGGCACCCTTCCCTGAGTCACCTCTGCTGGTGCCTTACCTTTAGATGGGCCAGGCCCCAGATTCACATGGAGGGGAACCATACTCTACAGTTTGTAGAGGGTAGAGGTTGGAGGTGGGGAGGTGCACACAGGATGGACTCGGGAGCCCATCAGACTGGGTTCACTACTGAGCCTCAGTTTCCTCATCTGAAAAAATGGGACAATAGCACTTATCTACTCACACGGGGTTGAGGACTAAATGTGATAATTCAGGCTTGGTTTCTAATACTTGGTGAGGGCTCCTTGGTAGCTGGTGTTGAATGGCAAGAGAGCGTGGTGAAAAACAGAGAGTTCAAATCCTTGGCTGGACAAGATGGCTCACGCCTGTAATCCTAGGACTTTGGGAGGCTGAGGTGGGTAGATCACTTGAGGTTAGGAGATCAAGACCAGCCTGGCCAACATGGTAAAACCCCATCTCTACCAAACAAACAAACAAACAAACAAACAAAACCACAAAAAACAAAAACTGGCCAGGTGTGGTGGCATATGCCTTTAATTCCAGCTACTCAGGAGGCTGAGGCACAAGAATCACTTGAAGCTGGGAGGCGGAGGTTGCAGTGAGCAGAGATCGTGCTACTGCACTCCAGCCTGAGCAACAGAGCAAGACTCTACCTCAAAAAAAAAAAAAAAAAAAATTCAAATCCTGCCTGAGTCCAACTCCTGCCTCTGCCACTTATAGCCGTGTAGCCTTAGGTGAGGGATCTTCCCTCTCTGGGCCTCAGTTGCCTCTGCTGTAACATGGAGATATAATCCTTCCTGGGGTCAGTATTAAATAAGCGAATGTATAGAGAGATATCTGTCCTGCTGCTGTTATTACCATAAATCACAGATCTGGGTTTGAATGCCGACTTTGTCACTCATTAGCTGTGTGACCCTGGGCAAATCGCTTGATGTCTCTGAGCTTCTGCTTCCTCATCTGTAAAATGGGAATCATGATGGTGCCTCCCTCTTAGGGCTGTGCTCTTGGCATAGTGCTTGGCACAAAGCCAACTCTGAGGACATCTGGCCAAATCTGCTTTTGTAGGATTGGTTTTGTTACTTCATTTTTCAGGTGGGAAAACTGAGGCCCAGAGAGGAAAAACTTCCTCGGTCGGCCATTGTGGCTTCCTGGTCAATTCCCCATCCCACTTCTCTTTGCACCACGAATTTCTAGTCCTTGTTGCCTCAGTTTACCCAGCTGGGAAATGGGTTTGGGGGGGCTCCTCTTATCTGCTGCTCCTCCCAGCAGGATGTGAAGTACCTGGCCATCAGCGGATTTCTCTTCTTGCGATTCTTCGCGCCTGCCATCCTTACCCCAAAGCTGTTTGACTTGCGGGACCAACACGCGGACCCCCAGACCAGCCGCTCACTGCTGTTGCTTGCCAAGGTGCCAGCCATGGGGTTCCCCCATCCTGGGTGCTCTTAGCCAGGGAAAAAAAGCATGGTAGGAGCAGAGCTGGGAGGCCAGACCCACAGAAGACCCAAAGAACACCCAAAGAAACCCAAGTCTGAAACACCACCATTAGCATTCTATCCCAAGGGTGAAAGCAGTCATTATGCACTCCAATTTCCCCTTTGGAAATGAAAACCCAACCCTTACAGAAGGCAAGTGGAAAGCAGGCTAGCAGTCATTCACACCTTAGTATGAATTAGATCATCCTTTGCAAAGGGCAACAACTTGAGATTCTGCATGACAGTATGCAAGGTAGGATTGAGCAGTCCTGGCTGGGGGAGGGTCTGGGCTTTGGAGGGAACAGAATAAGGTCACTGGGGGGTGCAGTTTCCAAAAAGAGGAAGGGGAAACAGATATCACCCAAGGAAGGTGTTGAGTCTTCTTATTGATTTATTTTTTTCTTTGAGACGAGTCTCACTGTGTCACCCAGGCTGGAGTACAGTGGCACGATCTTGGCTCACTGCAACCTCTGCCTCCTGGGTTCAAGTGATCCTCCCACCTCAGCTTCTGGAGTAGCTGAATTTACAAGTGTGTGCCACCGCGACTGGCTAATTTTTGCATTTTTAGTAGAGACAGGGTATCATCATGTTGGCCAGGCTGGTCTCGAACTCCAGCCCTCAAGTGGTCCGCTTACTTCGGCTTCCCAAAGTGCTGGGATTATAGGTGTGAGCCACTGTGCCCGACAATAAGAGTCTTCTTTTATTGAGCACTGATTTGGGAGCCAGCAGTCCACAGAGGGCCCTCCCGTCTGCTGTGACCTTGGCCCCGGCATCCCTCGTTTCTTTGCTCTAGGCTGTGCAGAGCATCGGAAACCTGGGCCAGCAGCTGGGCCAGGGCAAGGAACTGTGGATGGCCCCCCTGCACCCCTTCCTGCTACAGAGCGTCTCACGTGTGAGAGACTTCCTGGACCGGCTGGTGGATGTGGATGGGGATGAAGGTGAGTTCCTGTGGTCCTGCGGTATCTAGCTTCTCAACCCAACTGGGACACCACTCAGGGACTTCCCCTTTTCCCCACCAGCTCCTCAGCACTGAGAATGTGAATCTGTGGGTCAGTCAAGTCAACTAACATTTCCTGACACTGTGCTAGGCCCCAGAGACAAACAGAGCTCACGTGCTGTCCTCCAGGCCATCCTAGCCAGCGTGGGGATATGGCTGTGGGCGGGATTGTGGCATGGTGTGCATGCAATTGACAAACATCTATTAAGTGCTTACTAAATAATAGGCACAGTTCTAGGTGCTGGGGATGCAGCAGTGAACAAGACACAGAAAATCTGATCTCACAGAGGTTTTATTTTGTTGGGGAACACAGGCCATTAGCAAGATAAATAAGCAAGTTATGTGGTATGTTAGAGAGCTGTAAGTACTAAGGCGGAAAAATAGAGGAGGAAAGAACAGAGACCTGAAAGGGAACAGGTAGAGAGCTGTGAGAATCCCAGGGAAGAGTGCCAGGCAGGGCACAGCATGTGCAAGGGCCCTGAGGTGGGACAGAGAGTGCCACTGAGGACACCCGTGAAGAAGAGTGAAGCGGGGGCAGTGGGGAGGCAAAGAGGCAAGACCAGAGAGGTGGGGGGCCAGATCATGTGGGGCCTCATAGGCCTTGGGAAGAATTTTAGCTTTGACTTGGAGTGAAACAGAATCACAGGATGATTTGTAGCAGAAAAGTTGTGGTTGAGTCCATACCATAATGTGGGGCTCAGATCATGATCTAGTTGGATCCCAGTCCCGTTGGAGCAACCTGTCAGAACGTAGAGCCTGGTTGTGGCATGGTGGGGTCCCTGTGGTGCTGGGGTGGGGTGGCGGGGCTGTGTCCTGGCTCCCTGAGCGTGGTTAGATGCAGGACATTGCCTGGGTGGGGCCCCATAGGGTGTGGCTACCCCTGCTGGCTACCTGCACACTGTCTGCAGATTTCTCTGGTTGGAGAGAGGTCTTTAAGGGCTACTTTGCCCGCCCTCTCCTCCCGGCCTCCATGATTGCATTCCCTGTTGAGGGAGTGGAGTCTGAAGTCATCGCGCTCATCCTCCCACCTCTAGGGGAGCAGAGAACCATGCCCATCCACTGAGGTCCTCCCTGGGCATGCTAGTGGAGTAAGGTAAGCCTGGATAGGGAGGGCTTGCTGTCCACCACCTCTCTTCTCCCATTTCCCAGAAGCTGGTGTCCCAGCCCGGGCCCTGTTCCCGCCCTCGGCCATTGTTCGAGAAGGCTATCTGCTGAAGCGCAAGGAGGAGCCTGCCGGCCTGGCCACGCGCTTTGCCTTCAAGAAGCGCTACTTCTGGCTCAGCGGGGAGACCCTCTCCTTCTCCAAGAGTCCTGAGTGGCAGGTGGGGTTCCCGTCCACAATGGAGGGCTTGCCAGGGGTGGCCTTTTTCAGGATGCTGCCTCTTTGTACACAGGGGGAAACTGAGTCCCACAGTGGGGCAAGGCCCCAAGGTGCCATAATAACTTAACTATGACAAACTCTCAGGACAGGCTCTGCTCACAAGTTCAGGCCAATGCGGGCACAGGACACGGACAGGCACCATCACACATCCTTCAGAATGTGCACATGCGGTGGCAGGGATATGCCTCCCAGATGTGGAGGCACACAGGACAGGGATGATGCTGAACCGCTCTCCAATGCTCCCACCCGGATCTAGGGCACGTGCTAGACAGACTCATAACATTGAATGTGTTCACTAGGAACGTGTGTAGATGTTCAGGCACATTCATCCAAGCATTCATTCACTCGTTCACGCATTCGGCAAACATTGAGCCTATTATGTGTCAGTGTCCTAAGCACTAGAGATACAGGAGTGAACAAGACAGGTGAAAATCTTGCCCTTGTGGGGCTGGCGTTTGTGACTAGAATGCCCCGAGACACGTGCTGGAGTCTCCCGAATGGGGAGCTGTGTGCACACCAGTAGATGACAGCTAATGCTGGGAAGGGAGTCCACGCTTACTGTTTCTATTTTATCAGGAGAAAGGAGATTCCAGGGGTCAATTCTCTGGGTTCCAATTTCGGGTCCAACCGATGAGTGACCTTGGAAGGGTCATCTATCTTCTTGCACCTCAGTTTTCTCATTTGCAGGTTGGAGAGAATAACAGAACCAACCTCAGAAGTTTGTTGTGATAATTAAATAAGTTGATCAATGTAAAGTCCCAAGCACCATAGAAGTGGTAGCTATTATTAACAAGGAAACGGATCCCCAGAGAAGTTGTCACTTAGACAGGTGGCTGGGCATGATGGCTCACGCCTGTAATCCCAGCACTTTGGGAGGCCGAGGTGGGCAGATCACTTGAGGCCAGGGGTTCGAGACCAGCCTGGCCAACATGGTGAAACCCCATCTCTACTAAAAATACAAAAAAATTAGCCTGGCGTGGTGGTGCACACCTGTAATCCCAGCCACTTGGGAGGCTGAGGCAGGAGAATAGCTTGAATCCGGGAGGCAGAGGTAGCAGTGAGCCCAGATGGTGCCACTGCATTCCAGCCTGGGCGGGAGAGCGAGACTCTGTTTAAAAAAAAAAAAAAAAAAAAAAAAAGGATAGAGCAGGACTCACCCAACAGCTCACATGGATGGATGGACAAGCACACAGAGCACAGACTTACAGGGTTGAATGTCCCGCCTCTGGGAACCCACTCCACCTGCCGCACACAACCAGACGGAAGCTGTCCCCACCCCGGCCCTAGCCCCCAACCCATCCTGTAGCAACAATCCTCTTCCCCAGACCCGCCACTCCATCCCCGTGTCGCACATCCGCGCCGTGGAGCGCGTAGACGAGGGCGCCTTCCAACTGCCCCACGTGATGCAGGTGGTGACGCAGGACGGCGCGGGGGCGCTGCACACCACCTACCTCCAGTGCAAGGTGAGACCCCGTCGCGATGGGGAGCGGGTGGGGGTGGGGCGTCCCTCGGTTCCCACCCGCCCCTTGATCGCCTCCCACCCGCTGCAGAATGTGAACGAGCTCAACCAGTGGCTCTCGGCCTTGCGCAAGGCCAGCGCCCCCAACCCGGACAAGCTGGCCGCCTGCCACCCCGGTGCCTTCCGCAGCGCGCGCTGGACCTGCTGCCTCCAGGCTGAGCGCTCAGGTGAGGGGGCAGCGGGACTGCAGGCTCCGCTGGCCCTACCCGTCAATCAGTGGGTGTCCCACTTCCGCCTGGGCTGGCTGTGCAACCTTGGGCAAGTTACTCAACCTCTCTATGCCTCAGTCTCCTCAACTGTGAAATAAGGTTGATAACAGTGCCTTTCTCATGGAGTTGTGATAATTAAATGACTTGATTTACACAAAGAGCATAGGACGCTGCTTGGCGCATGCAAGGTGTTATTTCTACTCACTAGGTGCCAGCATCCAGTGGCGCCCAAACATCATGAGCTTGTTCTCAAGGAAGATGAGTGCATAACCCAAATTTTTTTTTTCTTTTTTTTTTTGAGACAGAGTCTCGCTCAGTTGCAAAGGCTGGAGGGCACAATCTCGGCCCACTGCAACCTCTGCCTCCCGGGTTCAAGTGATTCTCCTGCCTCAGCCTCCTGAGTAGCTGGGTTTATAGGTGCATGCCACTGCACCTAGCTAATTTTGTATTTTTAGTAGGGACGGGGTTTCACCATGTTGGCCAGGCTGGTCTCAATCTCCTGATCTCAGGTGATAAGCCCACCTCAGCCTCCCAAAGTGTTGGGATTAGAGATGTGAGCCACCGTGCCCTGCCTTTTGTTAATACAATGTTATAAGTGCCAACATGAGGCTTTTGAGATTCCAGTGGATGCCTCTGACACAGCCTCAGGATGGGGACTCAAGGAGGGCTTCCTGGAGGAGGTGCTGCTTAAATGCGACCTGAGTAGAGCAGAAGTTAAGCAGCGATACTGGAGACAGAACTGGGAGCTGGGGCTAAGGAAGTGTTGCAGGTGTCATGAGCAAAGACCTGGAGGTTGGGACAAGGTAGGCTGACGGTTGGAAAAAGGTCTTTGTGACTGGAGCCTAGAATGAGAGAGGAGTACTGGGAGAGGCAAGGCTACTGCAAAAGTCTAGGGAGCAGAAGTGGGGCTGGATGAGAGTGGAGGATGTAAGATTCAAAGGAAGTAGTGGGTTTTTTAATTTTTGTTTTTGAGACAGAACCTCTCTTTGTTGCCCAGGCTGGAGTGCAGTGGTGCAATCACGGCTCCCTGCAGCCTCAAACTCCTGGGTTCAAGCAGTCCTCTCACCTCAGCCTCCCAAGCAGCTGGGACCACAGACATGTGCCCCCATGTGAGGCTAATTTTTTTTTTTTTTGAGACAGAGTCTCACCCTTTTGCCCAGGCTGGAATGTAGTGGTGCAATCTTAGCTCACTGCAATCTGTGCCTCCCAGGTTCAAGCGATTCTCCCGCCTCAGCCTCCCAAGTAGCTGAGATTACAGGCATGAGCCACCATGCCTGGCTAATTTTTGTAGTTTTAGTAGAGACGGGGTTTCACCATGCTGGCCAGGCTGGTCTGAAACTCTTGACCTCTAGTGATCCACCCACCTTGGCCTCCCAAAGTGCTGAGATTACAGGCGTGAGCCACTGCTCCGGACCCAAGGGTAATTTTTAAATTATTTGTAGAGATGAGGTCTCACTATGTTGCCCAGGCTGGTCTCGAACTCTTGGGCTCAAGTGATCCTCCCATCTCAGCCTCCAAAAGTGCTGAGATTACAGGTGTGAGCCACCCCGTGTGGCCTAGAAATAGTAGGTTTGACGAGGGATTTTAGATGAAGGAGCACGGCTTGGCGACAGCCTGGTTGTGGAGGCTTCTGGAAGGGGAGGGGGCGTTACTGATGAATGAAGCTGTGTCCCCTCAGCCGCCGGCTGCAGCCGTACACACTCAGCTGTCACCCTGGGGGACTGGAGTGACCCATTGGATCCCGATGCTGAGGCCCAGACGGTGTATCGGCAGCTGCTCCTGGGGCGGGACCAGCTCAGGTGGGTGCCCCCACCCATCCCACTTCACCTCCTATGGCCAGCCGAGCCAGCCCCCCACCGTGGCCTTGCTGTGTTCATTTATTCATTCTTTCCGTGTGCATTGGTAGATCTTCCCTGGGGGCCTGGCCCAGGGTGGGGACTGGGTGTCTACACAGTCAAGGCTTGGGAAGCATCCTCGGTGGGAGGGGTCCCTCATACAGAACTGGGTCTTGGGATCTTTTAATACCTGGGGCTCCAGAGACCCTGGCACAATTCACATAAAATCCTGGCCCCCTGCACTTGCTAAATGACCTTGGATAGATCTCTTCCCCTTCCTGGCATGAGGATCGCTATCACTGTTATTCGGTGACAGAGATTTGTCCCAACTCATTATAGAGTGGGTTCTGAAGCTGACCTGCCTGGGTTCCAATCCTGACCCGGCCACTTACTAGCTGTGTGATCTTTAAAAAAAAAAAATTATACATTTATTTAGACAGAGTCTTGCTCTGTTGCCCAGGCTGGAGTGCAGTGGCATGATCTTGGCTCACTGCAACCTCTGCCTCCCGGGTTCAAGCGATTCTCCTGCTTCAGCCTCCCATGTAGCCAGGATTACAGGCACCTGCCACCACGCCTGACTAGTTTTTGTATTTTTAGTAGAGATGGGGTTTCACCATGTTGGCCAGGCTAGTCTCGAATTCCTGACTTCAAGTGATCCACTTGTCTTGCCTCTTTGCCCTCCCAAAATGCAGGGATTACAGGCATGAGCCACTGCACCCAACCAGGCTGTGTGATCTTAAAAAAGTTGCTTAACTTCTCTGTACTTCAGTTTCCTCGTCTGGAAAAGGGGAATAATAATGGTGGTAACCTCGTGGGTTGTCCTGAGGATCAGATGAGCTAATACAGGTGGAGCACTTTGTAGGTGCCTGGCCACATAGTTAGCTTTCAGTAAGTGGTAATGATGATGGTACTGATGCGGTGTGACCTTAGACAAGTTACCTAACCTGTGTCTCAGTGATCATCTGTATAATGGAGCTAATACTAAATACCTACCTCATATGAGTTTGTCATGACAATTAAATGAGTTAATACATGCAAAAGGTTTAGAATAGTGTCTGACACTCTAGAAATGTTTGCTGTGTAGATGATGATGATGATGATGATGATGATGACAATGGTAGATGGTGATGGTGATGATTCAGGAAAACTAATTTCTCAGAGAATTTCTGGGGTAGGAATCAGGATTGGGAATCAGGGACCAGCCTTGTCTTTCTCCTTCTCACCTTCCAGGCTGAAATTACTGGAGGATTCTAATATGGATACAGCTCTGGAGGCAGACACAGGTAAGGGCTCCTGTACCACAGAATGTAAAGGCTGGGCGCGGTGGCTCACACCTGTAATCCCAGCACTTTGGGAGGCCGAGGTGGGTGGATCACTTGAGGTCTGGAGTTCGAGATCAGCCTGGCCAACATGGTGAAACCCTGTCTCTACTAAAAATTTAAAAATTAGCTGGGTGTGGTGGTGCACACCTGTAATCCCAGCTATTGGGGTGACTGAGATGTGGGAATTGCTTGAACCCAGGAGGAGGAGGTTGCAATGAGCTGAGATCATGCCACTGAACTCCACCCTGGGCAACACAGCAAGACTCTACCCCGCCCCACCAAAAAAAACCAGTAAGCTAAGGGGTTAAGGAGGTCCTTTTTTCCTCACAGGCGCTTCCCCACTGTCTCCTGTGTTTCCAGTCCGTCATCAGGCCACAGGGCTGTGTGTGGGGACTCTCAAGGATTTTAGGGTTCTCAGGGCACAAGGCACATCTGCAGCGTGAGAAACCATCGGGTCCGGGTTACAGCAGCCTGCCTTGGACTGGCTGAGCCCCTGTGGCCTCTTGTCTCCCTCCTAGGGGCCTGTCCTGAGGTCCTGGCCCGGCAAAGAGCAGCAGCTGCCCGCCTGCTGGAGGTGCTCGCAGACCTGGATCGTGCCCATGAGGAGTTCCAGCAGCAAGAGCGAGGGAAGGCGGCCCTGGGCCCACTTGGCCCCTGAGGAAATGCCACAGCTAGCCCGACAGGAGGAGCAAGGAGGTGGGGAACCCTCTCCTCAGCGCATCCTGCCCCAGGAATCTCCTGTCTCCTTGTACCTCTTTGATTCTGTGGTTTGGAGGCTCCCAGAGACGTACCTCGTCCTGTGTGCCTTGAGTCCAGAACTCAGGGCATGGAAGCCCTTTGGCAGGGGCTAGCCTTGCACTGAGCGAATCTCGCTCTCTGGGTTGATTCAGACTGGAGTGGATAGGATAAGGAATCTGACTTATTTGACTGAGACCGGGGTCTCTGCTTCACCAAACTGGCCTCTATCCATACCAAGGAGGCCAGCCTGGCTCTGAGCTGCTGGATACAGCTGGACCTGAATTCCTGAAGCCCATGTGATGTTGTTGCCCCAGATAGGCACTAAATGGGCTCACTCCTCCCTGTTTTTGTGTCTGCTAATCCCTATAACCTCGCTGATTCTTCTGTACCCTGCCCTTGGCCTAGGACCCCAACCACAAGCTTCCAGAATCAGGTACCCTCAGGAAGAACCAAGGCTGGGTGGGGGTCCAGTGTGCCACACTCAGACCCTTGGAGCCTGGGAGACCTTAGGCCAGGCTCTTTGTCTCTCTTTGGGGCTCAGATTACCCTGTATAAAAAGAGGAGGGAAAGTCTAGATGTGTGGTTTTCAAACTGGATTCCAATGAGGTCGTTCAGGAGCCAGGGAGGGGTTTCTGTGACTGTGGGCCAAAGACTGCCCGCTGGAATGTCTGCTAGAAATGCAGATTTCTGAGGCCCAGCCAGTTACTGACTCAGAATCTGAAGGTATATGAGGGCAAGAATCAGGGTTATTTAATATATTCCTTAGGTCATTTGGAAGAGCATCAGCTTTGAGGACTATCGGCTTGGGGAGTGGGCAATTTTATTTTATCTTATTTTTACAGTCTGGGGTCTCACTCTGTTGCCCAGGCTGCAGTACAGTGGCATGATCATAGATCACTGCAGCCTCAAACTTCTGGGCTTCAGCGATCCTCCCATGTCAGCCTCCAGAGCAGCTGCGACTACAGGTGCAAGCCATCACGCCTGGCCAATTTTAAAATTTTTGTAGAGATGAGGGGTCTCGCTATGTTGCCCAGGCTGGTCTCAAGCTCCTGGCATCAAATGAGCCTCCCGCCTCGGCCTCCTTAGTTGCTGGGATTACAGGCGTGAGTCACAGTGCCTGGCTTGCAATTTTATATGCCAGGGTTTGGGTTGAGGTTTTGTCTGAGAATGAACCATGGAGTACAAATGTTTGGGAACACGTGACTGGCAGAACTGGAAGGGCCTCCAAGGACTCATTTCCGGTGTTGTGTCACTAGGGGGTGGGACAGAAACCAAAGCCTACCTGGCAGGGGATCAAGTAGACCAGGAAAGACAGGGCGCTATCCCGAGGCTGGCCAGCAGGGCTTGCCCGAAGCCGCAGCATCACCAGAGCTGCAGGGGCGTCCTGGCATGTTGCAGAGAGGCTGATTTAAGGCTGGGGTCCATCCCTGTCTTTCCCTAGTTAGAACCTGACCCTCCTCCCCAAGGACAGGGTCCTGATGAGCTCCGAGATCCTGATGAGCTGATCACAGTGTCTCCCAGCTCCTCCGTATTCTCCCCGAGGCTCCCAGTTCTCCGCCCGAGTTCCTTGTTTCTTGTCTCTTGTCATTGTGCCAGGGAGCAGATGTGTGCATTGCCTCGTGCTCTTGTGAAAGAGAAGGGTACTTTCACCTTTGCATTCTTGGCAACTTGGACTAGGAGGGTCTGTCACTGCTCCACTGCCCCCACCCCTTCCGGCCCGAGGCAATGACCCTGAAGTTGCCATTCTCTTGCAAGCCATCACTCCCCAATGGGGCTGACTGCAGCCCCCAGGAACAGAGCCACCCACCCCTCTCTTGGCAGGAAAAGACCAGGCGAGGAGGAGAAAGACCATTTATTTCTCCACCCACAGTGGGACTGGTAGGTTTTGAAAAGAGCAATCGCTGGCATACCTTTAAATCTTGGCTGACTCCCACCGTGGCAGCCAATCAGCAGAGGCAGAGCTGGTGAGTTGCCTGGGCAACGGGCCCCTGGTTGGCCGGAGACGATTAGCCACCCCACTGCCCACTCCCAACGAAAGGGAAATTGACTCTCTGCTGTCCACTCTGCTTTAAAATACATGGGCCCAAACTAGGCCTCCTCCTCTCGCTCCTGAAGTCAGAAGCGCCAGCCTTTGGCTCTCAAAATTGGGAACGATTAGGTGGAGAGGATGGGACAGGGAGGATGGGAGAACAGTGCCTTTATCTGGGACAGACAGAAGGCCTGGAGATGGGAAGGGAGAAGGAGATCAGAGTCCAGAGAGATGAAGAGGGACAAACACAAAATCAGGACCCTCTAGTCCCCGCTTGCACTGGCCATTCTTTTGTAGAACTGCCCAGTCATCTGGGGGCTTCCACCCCATGGGCCCACCATTGCCCAATCAGTGGGTGGCAGACATGGGTGATGACATGGAATGGGTGAGGCATCGGGGGTACACTGAGTTTCCCAAGTCCCTGTTTGCCCCCCGAGCCCTGGCAGGCCCCTAAGGGCTTGCCCTGCATCCTCCAGTTTGCAGACAAGGCTGTACGGATGCAACTGAGACACAGATGGGGATCCACATGGGGGGGTCATGGGGTCTTTCTGTCGCTTCTCTTCCAGCCTGGGGGCAAGTAGAGGCACGTGGGTGTGCGTGCATGAGTTCAACAGGACGTGTGTGTGTGTGTGTGTGTGAGGGGGCGGGTCTCTGTCTTTTTGGTAGGGAGGTTTCCAGTACTCTCTGCATGGCCCTCTCAGGGAGCTATGATTCGGAGCCAGCCTGACATGCCATCTCTCTTCATCCCAGCTGCCACCAGGCAGGTCCCCCGAATGGCTGCGGCTCCTTCCGCAGGCTCCTCCCCAGCCCTGAACCTGGGCCACCAGGACACACCTGGCGAAGGAGGCATTTGCCGGACCAGGGGCAAAGCAGGAGGGAAGGTGGGCAGCCTTGGGCCTCAGGCCTTGGCTGCAGCCTCGGATACACCCTGGGCTGTGAGCTCGGCCAGCACGTTGTCTAGGTAGCTAGCGTCCGGGTAGCCGTGGCCCGTGAGGTTGGATCCAAACTCGGTCTTATGGTGGATCTCGTTCCACACCACGGTGTCCGACTCGCCCGTGGTGTTGGAGGTGCCGATGGTGAAGATGAGTCTTCTTTCCCAGGCCGTGATGAGCAGCCGCAGCACCTGGGGGGACAGGGACACGGTGGGGCTGGGCGGAGGCCACAGGCAGCCTCCAGCCCAGCAGCCTCAGCCTCCCTCCCTCCCCTGCCACATCATGGCTACCTTATGGTTTCATCCATTGGTACCGACTACGTACTGCCGACTTTGCCATTTCCTTTATATTTGTATTTCCTGAACTGCCAGTAAAAGCTCTTTCCAAGTTATTTGTTTGTTTTGTCTTTCCTTTCCTTTTTTTTTTTTTTTTGGTGGGGGGGACAGAATCTTGCTGTGTTGCCCAGGCTGGAGTGCAGTAGTGCCACCAGAGCTCACTGCAGCCTCGAACTCCTGGGCTCCAGCAATCGTCCCACATCAGCCTCCCGAGTAGCTGGGACTACAGGTAGGCACCACCAAGCCCAGCTAAAATTACAAACTTTTTGGAGAGACAGAGTCTCACTATATTGCCCAGATTAGTCTCAAACTCCCGGCCTCCCACCTCAGCCTCCCCAAGTGCAGGGATTACAGGTGTGCCCCACTGTGCTTGGCCTGCCTGTTTCTTTCTTTTTTGTGTGTGATGGAGTCTTGCTCTGTCACCCAGGCTAGAGTGCGGTGGGGTGATCTCGGCTCACTGCAACCTCTGCCTCCTGAGTTCAAGCAATTCTCCTGCCTCATCCTCCCCGGTAGCTGGGACTACAGGCGCACTTCACCACTCCCGGATTTTCGTATTTTTAGTAGAGATGCGGTTTCACCATGTTGGCCAGGCTGGTCTCAAACTCCTGATCTTGTGATCCACCCGCCTTGGTCTCCCAAAGTGCTGGGATTAGAGGCATGAGCCACCGCACCCAGCCCTGCCTGTTTTTTTTCTGGGGTGAAGAAAGCATCTGGCAGCTCTCTGCTCTATTTAGTTTGGACTCCACACTATATTAAAGAGCAACTTGTAAATTAGTTACTAACATTCAAAAGCCTAGAGATTTCCCATGAAAATCTGGATTTCTTGGTGCTCTTGAAAAGCAGAAAGTCAAATCAGACAGTCTGTAGGGTGATGGTGAGAGCTTAGACTGCCTGGGCTCAAATCCGAGCTCTGTCACTTAGTTTCTGTGTGACCACGGTCAAGTGACTTGCCCTCTCTGAAGCTTTGCATCTTTGTCTATAAAATGGGGTCAGGATCTTGACCTCAGCGGCTGGGGAAAGGAGGTAAGATGTGTGAAGCCGGTGGCCATGGTCGCTGCTGTTGCGGTGCTGCTTTGGGGAGGAATGTGAGAGCAGGGATTGGGAATGATGGGGACCACAGGCCCAGGCCAGTGGTTGCTGGAGCCCCTGCCTGTGCCTATCTCCTGTGCCCTCACGACTGGGCACCCACCTTCCGGCCTTTCTCATTGTTGGGTAGATAGCAGTGGCGAGGGAATCCTCTTGCGGTGAACTTCTTTCCGGGGTTGGGGTGCTCAGGGCCCTGCAGGGAGGGACAGTAGCAGGGATTTAGACCATGAACAGGTGGTGGCAGGGCAGAGGAGCGTCTGGAGGAGTTGGAGGGGAGTGGGGGCTGGGGGCCAGAGAGGCAGAATGGGAGTCCACCTGGATGCCTGTGGGGATGTCGTAGACGATGCGGATGGTCTGGGTGTCAGGGAAGCCAGGCAGCGAGTGGGGGATGAGGTGGAACTCCATCTTCCCAGGCGGCTGCGTACCCGTCTTCTCCCCGTAGATGGCCTTGCAGGTGGGGCACTGCAGGCTGCCATCCTGGGCAGGGGAGGCTGGCAGTGAGTTCCCAGTGGCCCCCCAACCCCACTCCGTTCCCTGCCCACTCCCCAGCCACTGTCCTGCCCAACCCACCTTGTTGCCATTGGAGTACATGGCCACGAGGCACAGCAGGTGGTACATGTGGCCGCAGCGGCCCAGGCGGCCCACGAGCTCAGGCCGCACGCCCTTGTGCCGAAGCACGCCCTCGTAGCCTGACGCTGTGACCAGCCGCTCCATGCAGATGGTGCAGTCCTGCAGGTGGGCAGCAGGGGAGACTGAGGACTGGGAAGGGCAGGGCACCTACTGGGTCAGCACTGCCCCTCGGCGGGTCACCATGGGCAGCAGACCACACTCTCTCTGGTGCCCATTTGGCAAAGGGAGACAGGACACACCCTCTGCCCCATACATTGGTTTCTTTTCTTTTCTTCTTCATTTTTATTTTTTATTAAGAGACAGGCTCTGTTGCCCAGGCTGAAGCGCAGCAGTGCAATCATAGCTCACTGCAGAGTCGAACTCCCAGGCTCAGGAGATCCTCCTGCCTCAGCCTCCATCATAGCTGGGACTACAGAATGAGCCACTGCGCCCAGCCCCTTCCCATATATTGAATTCTGATACATCACAGAGGAAGATGGCTCCCTCACCACTCCCCGGGTGAATTAAGGGCTTAACTATCAAAAACAAAACTTAAAAACATTTAGTGGAAAATATGGGTGAAAACGACACAAAAACTCAATCATCAAAAGATGGATAAATGTGAGTCCATTAAACGTAAGCATTTCTATTCATCAAAAAAACCTCATAAAGAAAGTGAAGAAAGGAACAAACTAGAGGAGCTCTGTATCACCCAGAACCCAGGAGGAGGGGTGAGGGTTCCTGCCCCCTCCATGCCAGGGCCCTCCCCC